CACTGAGAGTGGAATAAAGGAGGGACAGTAGTCAGGAAGTATGCAGTAATGGAAAGTAGCCATTAGCTGGCGTGGTGGAACCATGTGTGATCCCAGCTACAGTGGAAGCTGAGGCAGGATTAAAGGTTTGAAGCAGCCCCAGGAAAGATCCTGTGTCAGAAGTTTTTTTTTTTTTTTTTTTTTAAAAAAAGGGCTGGAGATGTTACTCAGTGATAGAGTCCTTGCTATGTTCAATTCCCAGCACCACTGAAAATAAAGAAATTATTAAAATTGAAATATAAGGTATGGATAGTATAGGCAAAGCATATGGTACTGGAAGCTTTTTTAAAAAAATAGCACTAGAGATTGAACTCATTGTCTTTCCACAAAGCTACATCTGCCACCCCTTTTTGAAGTTTTTTATTCTTTTATTTTTTATTTTTTGGCTGGTTAGCCCACCCTGAGGGCAGGGCCGGCTCGGTCTGTGGTGCTGGGATCCAACCGTGGTCCACTGTGCCTGCCTAAGCTTATGCAAGCAGGCGCTTTAGACCACTGAGCTATCTTGTCAGCCCATAACGTTTTGTATTCTTGAGAAAAATTTCCCTAAAGTTACGAAATTGTCTGGGCTGGGGTTGAACTTGCAGTCCTCCTGCTTCAGACTCCAACAAGAGTGCCAGGATTACAGGCATGTGCCACCATTTTTTTTTTAAAGATGCAAGATACCTGAACAAATACTAACAGAAGAGTCAAAAGATTACATATGAGGTTGAAGACTCCAAGGATAATCAAGAGCACTAGGGTTATAATCTACAAGGATTAACAGTTGCTACCACTCTAATCACACATAACTATACACTAAATTTTTTACCCATTTTACCTAATTCTCAGTGATACCATGTGGTTACTACTGCTATCCTGATTTTACTGATGAGGAAAGAGATTACATTATGATCAAGGCCAGCATGGCGGCAGAGCTGAGATACGACTGGCTTAGTGTACAATGGACCTCTTGTCCACGGCTGTGGACTTGGTAGGTGCAAGTACAGGGAATCAAGGTCTCTTATTTTTTTACATAACAGGGAAGTATGAGGAGGAGTAAGAGTCATGTTTCAAACTGAAGGTTTACAAACTGTTAAGGAAAATGCAGCCAAGGAAAAAAGGGTACTAGCCAACTGGCATCAAACTGACAGAGGTCAGTTTGTATCAATTTACTGATTTATGCACCTATCCATCTTTCTCCAGAAGTAATTTATAGTAATCTATACAGCCTGGGCTGGGATTTACCAGGAAGGTATGACATCTGGCAGTTATTTCAGAGGCTGATAACTATGATCTAGAATCGACAAATCAATTAAATATCTAGACAGGGATCATGAAGGTGAAAACTTTCACCTGACATGAAATATCTGCTATATGTTCACTAGTGGGATTTCTAAACTAATGACCTTAGACATAAGGCTGTATTTCAGACAGTGCACTAGATGTGGTCCTGATGGAGAGGAAGTAATAGAATGCAGCCTTGTACATTAAAAATGGTCACTGAAGTAACCAGGGAGCTGAAATTTATTTCCAGGTTTACTAGAAGAATGTGGTGTAACTGTGTTTTCAATCTATGGGTCAATCCTTCTAAACATTTTTCTGTACCTTTAATTTTCCCAGGTTTTAAAACTACTTGAGGGGTTGGGGATGTGTGGCATGTTTGCCTAGCATGTGTGAGGTCTGGGTTTGATACTCAGCACTACACACACACACACACACACACACACACACAAACAAAAAACAGGTAAAAATTTTTTTTAGACTGTCAAGGACTTTCCCCTAATACTACAAACACCATAACTTGTTCTTGAAAACTTTCAATGGAGACCTTTAGATGCTAGTACAGGTAAACATCTGATATAGGCAAACCTGACAGTAGCACATTCCAGGTACAGAAATTATCACTATATGGGAAAAGCTGCCTTTAAGCTTTCCAAGTAATGGTGTTTGACTGTACAAACACTATTTTCTTATCCTTCCCCTCAATACTTCTTTGATAGAAATCAACACAACAGCCCAATACTGGTCTTTTCCCCCCACACAACTGGAGGCTGAACCTGGGACCTTTATGCTGAACATCAACATCTTTTTCTTTCTTTTTAATGTATTTGGTTCAGGTACTTAGTCTGCTAAGCCATCTCACTGGCCTAACATCTTTTGTTTTTAAGGACAGGATCTCAGTAAGTTACTAGGATGCTCAGGCTGGGGCTGAACCTGTGCTCCTCCTGCCATAGCTTCCCAAAAGTGTTGGGATTACAGGGGTGTACCACCATGACCAGCTCGCCTTCTTCTCTCACCCAGTCCTTATTTAGTAAAATAAACTTCATGCATGAAGGACAGTTATGTTTTAATGTGGTGCCGGGACACTAGGCCATGTGCAGACCAACAGAAGTAAACTTAATTGTAATCCCGAATTTTGTTTAGTGTCCTGGAATACATGAATTAAAATAAGAAAATCTCTAATGCGGAGATTAAGGAAAATGGTCATCCAATGTAATTATTTTAGGTGTTTCTATTTACATGTTTATATTACATATAAAACCAAGGCTTAAATAATCACTTAAACAATGATGTTTCTTTCTTTTTTTGCAAAGCTGGGGATTGAACTCAGGCCCTTGTACTTGCCAGGCAAGCACTTATTCAACTGAGCTATCTCTCCAACCCCTCGATGGAAGTTTCTGTTTTGAAACATAATATTGATCTTTCTCTTTCCATTATGAACACAAACCAAGTTTTCCTTTTCTAATTAAAATAACTTAATACGTAATCCTGCAGGCTAGATATATGAAAATCAATGGCTGAACTAAGACTGAACTGAAGGCATGGTAGCCTGTAAACCCAGTACTTGGGGGGCTGGGGCAGGAGGATCCTTGGAAGTTCAAAGCCAGAATAGGCTACATAGTGAGTTCAAGGTCAGTCTGAATTACATAGCAAGACTCTAGTCTGAAAAAAGGTAAAGGGCTGGTGAGATGGCTCAGTGGTCTAAAGCACCTACTTAGAACAAGCTT